ATGAAAAGCCTGACATCAGAGAGTACCATCGACAGTGTAAAACAACCCTACCAGTGTGTGCTCTCGAATGAAATCTGCTTTCACTTTCTTCCTTGTTTTTTCATTGCTTGTAGTTAAGCTGACCTTTAAGTTTCACTTATTATTCTTAAAAAGATCTGCTCCATATTTAGAAAACATTTCCTAACTTTGTTCTTTACAGCCACTTGTCATGTACAAAATATGAACAAAGTAATGTATTACTTTGTTCATTGTTCAGTTGTATACAACTAATGAATTTTAGGGGAGTTAAGCATTTAGGTCTTTATAGAAAGACATTTCTTAAACCAAGACCTGTTAGAAAGATTTCACAGTCTATTGTTTGTGATTGTCTGAGAATATTCTCTATGCTCACTAAAACTAGTTTACACACATTTCAAGCAGTATAGCTTGTTCCCTAGACTTTCATTAAATACGATTTGAAGCCTAATTTTGAGAGTTATGAAAATGCTAACACTTACTTTTCTCAGTGTTATTATTAACAGTTCCAGTCTAATTTAATCTGTATTATTAGTTTACAATCACCTGAAAACAAGTCCACAAGTCCTTATGATAACTAAAATAGTAAAAGTACTACAAACAAGAATACTGAAAAATATACAGTACATGTTCATGTATGTTGTGATGAGCCCTAAATGAAAATATACAATTGCCCAATTTTTCTGTAATTTAACTTTATCTTTTGCATAAAAGGTAGCCAGGGTTTCTTGTTTTGCAACTAATAAGGTTAGGAACCACTTAAATAAAAAAACACTGAAATTACAAACTAGAAAACAGAACATCATGTGTTGAGGAAAGTCTGAAGGGATATGGGGAAGGATACATGGATTGGGTGAGCAAAGTGTTGAATCGACCCACTCTCAAACTTGCATTATTGATGTGTGAAGGTTTCAATACCCTTGCTGCTCTACAGAGTTTAAGTAATCCATTTGGATCACATTCTGGGGCTGCTTTAATGCAATAAAAAGAACATGCATTAATACAGTATCCCGTGCTAAAGAAAGGGTTTACATATTTTATTCACAGAAGGGACAGTGCCCATGGATAACACAAACAGTGCAACATACTCCAACCACAAGGCTGTTGGTTGCATTTTGAATATGATCTGACAGATAAATGCAACATGGGAGACAATAAAAGAGGACGAGTTATTTCTAACCCTCCTCACAGGGACATTATAAACATCACACAGTATATTTACTGAAACAATTAAAAATCTGGACAGTGAGGATATGCCTCATTGTATTCAGTTTTAACTTCTCTAAAATGGAGCCTTAAGGACTAGACTAGAAAGATCCTGTGGGTAAAGCAGTGCTAAGTTGACAAAGCACTGAAAATTCAATCTTGATATCAGTATATTTGTCATTAATAATAATAATACTAATTGTAGCAATTATTATACTAAGATTTCTAGAAAAGCTTCGTAGTGAAGATGTTTTGATGTTTTTAATAGACAAACACTTGTAATAAGTTATTCAAGAACTTGCCAAATGCATTTAATAAATGCAACATCTTAGATAAATGCCATTTATTTCTCCTCAGCCTCCCCAAGAACTTGTTGCTGTGTAAAGCTCCCAACCTACATATAGTGTTTGTAACCGAGAATATAACAAACTCAAACTGTAGATCAGACACTAGTGCTTCCAACACTAACATTTTGGGTAGATATATTAGTAAATTTCTGGATTATTTTATTTTTATTTCTTCTACCATTTCTGTTGCAAATAGAGGATTGTGGCATAAAACTTCAAACTTTTACTGTCTTTAATTCTTAATTAATGCTTTATTTCTGTAGATGGTATGTTCTTTTTAGGTTTTAAAACACAACTACTTAGGATGAAGTTTAATTGATTATTTATCCATATAAACAGAGGCTAAAATAACGGAACACATTGCTTTTCTCAAATAATATATTTATAGCAATTCTACTGACATGGAATTGACACAAATTGTTGACAACAACCCAAGTAATCCACCCAAAATAAAATCCAAATGAATGTTGCATGCTAAACATTTGGTTAAATGGAAAAAGGTTGCAAAAACACAATTCTTGTAAAAATATTGTCTCCAAAATTTGCTGAACAGTAAACAACTCTTTTAAGTTAAACATTTTCACTATCCTTCTTAACAGTGTTCTGTTACTGTAGTTCAAGAACAGACTGTCTTATTTGAAAGGAAGCTTGGGGAATTCAAAGCATACTGCCTCTTTACTGTACACTACAAATGGGAAATGTAGTTCACAGTTGTCTCGTGTCGCATGTCTCATGTTCGCAGTTCGCCCATATTCTTTTTATCTCTGGTTTCAGTCTCATGTCTGTTTTTTTCTCTGCTTGTTTTATGACACCGTACTTGGGCCCTGCTGCAGGGAGGATTAGACAGAGTTGCAAATCAAAGTGGGTTAATCGGCTAGAGTACCATTTCAGGAGTCATCTCTCAGCTTACTGGCCACACTGCTCCATTTAAGTGCTGCAGTTGACATTTACACGTTTCAGGCTTTAGGGAAGCAAAGACTCTTAAGAAAAATACGTATCTTTCAACAGAAAGATTAGCAATGTGATCCCATCTTTGTCCAGTTTACATACTGATATTCCATTAGGTAGGACATTCATGTGCTGATCACCATAAAACTACCATAGGTGGGATAAAGCAATTGTTTTGCAAATCCCAAGTAATTTTTTTATCTTTCTGACCAACTTTTGAGTCAAGCCCCAAATAAAGGCATGAAAGTCCCAAGTTGAGCTGAAAGTCCTAAACTTTTAATTTCAAATCTCAAAAAAGTCATATGACCCTTAGTGTAATTTAATCAGAATAAATCTGATGCTGAGATTTATCAACTGTTTTAGACAACACAGAAACACGGATACACAGAAACACGGATCATGACACTTCTATCCCATGGTTTGCACTGCAGAGCTCTGTTCTTTTCATTGAATGTCGTTTGGTAAAAACCATTAACTCTCATCTCATCATGAGAGTTTTAGTGCATGATTAAATGAGAAGTTCATTACATTTTGACATTGATTCTGTTCACTTTCTAAAAAACAGTTTGAAATAAATAGCCTCAGGATTGGCCTTGGTGGTGGAGTGCATTCTGAGTGCCTTTTTAACTCTGACGTGCTAAACGTGAACCAACAGATATTTGCTTTTAAAAGTTCTGCCTGGACATATTTTGTGTCATTTGATGACATGGCTTCAGGCCAGGTGGGTGTTTATGTTAAAAGCAGCAAATTGTGTCTCATTTATAGTTTATTGTAAATAGTCTGCTCCCAGTTGTTCAGCATGTCATAATGCTTTAGCTCTTGTCAGATCATACTTGTTCTATTATTTATATATTATATATTTGGTCACATCCATGACTAACTCAAACGTAACAAATGTTTTTTTGTCAGTACACCAATGTTACACCGCAGACCCAGAGGAACGTCATCTAAAAACAACTAATCACTATGAAACTGTAAGAGGGAAAACCGAACAATGGAACAAGCATTACTTCTATATAGGAGCATAACCCCATGACCTGATGTGAGAAATACAACATATGATATAAAACCTAATACCTAGATTCCATCTACATGCTCTAAAAAGCACACAGTATACTTAGTTTCACCAGTTTAAATAAAGAATCTAAAATGATGTTGTAATCTGTAAGAGGTGTATTGTGTTTTTGAAAGGGGCTTCTGGATGTATGTGTTACTAACAAAGTGAGTTTGTAACGACTGGTAGGATCAACAATTACATTTTTCAGAAACAGTTTTAAGTGTCTGCAGTTTGGAACTCACTTCCTGTTGATTTAAAGCCTGTAACCAGTTTTAGTACGTTCAAGAAACAAGTGTTTTCATTAATATGCGTCTTGATTTCACTGACATAACAGAAATCCATTTGGTTGATTATATCCAGTAGTCTGGTTGTAATCTTTTCTCTTGGCTGTGGTCTAAAGGGGCTCACCCATCAGGTTACTGTTAAACAAGTTTAATGGAGGGTTTGACACAGGATGATTTATTGCATAATTAACACCCCCTGAAGTGACTGCACAAAGTTCAAAATCATATGTGTAAACATTAAACCTTCTGAACTTTGCTATGATGAAACATTAGGATGTAAAATTGATTTTTCTAAATTTCCTTGATCTAAAAGTGATGATTTATAACTGAGCATGATTCTTTAAGTACACTGTATCTGTCACTTGTATTTGAATGTAGAGCTGTGACTCAGAGAAGATTATGACTGTGACATTAATGTGTCATTGACTGTTACATGAGTTCATAAGACATTTCTGCTTTTTGTGTCTTTTCCATTGCTGAGCACCAGAGCTTTCTAATGAGCTTAATGTCTTTCTGTGAACCTTCCTTCACTTTAAAAAGGACGGTGCCATTAATGTGTTGTGTAAACACCGGTTACACATGGTATCAATTTCACTCTTCAGACTTAAATGTTTATTAAAATGCTATTGAGAACCTGATCATTTCTTTATCTGTACAACCCACTGAACAAGTTACTGATACCAGCATTCTTCATGCAATAACCTGGTAAACAAAAACTTATTTTCAAGTTCAGTTTATTCACTAATTGTTAAATTTAATCAACATTGCCCAGTCTATGTGATTCTCAAAGAAGAAAAAAATGCAAATGATTTACTGGGATGTGAATTTTAAGACTGAATTTTTGTTAAGATTCAAAACTTGTTTTAAACTGCAAATATTTGTTAATCATAAAGCTAACCAGCTTATTATTTTCCCAAAAGTTATATAAGTCCAACATTTTTAAAAGAGTATTTAGTGCACAACATCATGCATTATCTGTACTATGAAAAGAATATGAGTTAAATTGAACAATATAATTCAGGAGCTATTGATTTAAGGTGGTGAGCTATAAGCATTGATTAATCCAACTTTATAATGTGTTCTATTATGTTTTGTTGTAAACATATGTGCAGACATAAACTAAGAAGTCAATTTTTTTTAATTAATTAATTTATTTTTTCTTTATTGCTTTTAATATGCAGTTTTAAATAGACAGTTGAAGAAACCTGCCGCAGTGTGCCTAAACCTAACCACAGCAGCTTCCACTGTGTTTGATATATATGAAATGTTTAATGATGGCAACAAAAGGAAAAGAGTGAAACAAGTAGAAATGACCATTTGTGTTGACTGTTTCAGATGTATTGGTGTGTGTGTGTGTGTGTGTGTGTGTGTGTGTGTGTGTGTGTGTGTTTTTATTTGAACAGAGCCTTTCACATGATTCCAGCAGCGCTGTTGTTGCAGTCTTATAATTGGACAGTTTGTGGGTTCTGTAATTTGGCGTTTGTCTGGCAACAACACAGATTTTCACAGTTTGTAGAAACCCTTCACTGTTAGTGGACTGCAGTTCTAGTTTCAGCTTTAACTGTGATGATCAGAATTCACACAGTTGATGTCTGAGCTGGAGAGATGGCAGGTGTGGATTGGTCTTCACAGCAGCTGAAAATTACACTGAGAATGATAAAGTGTTAGTATTGAGAGGCAGAGGGCATAGTTTGCTTTAGGTGCCTTTTTCCACCACGCCCTTAGTGTTCTATAGAACAATCTAACACTGTAATTTTTTTTTACATTTTTATAGAGCAAAATCAGACAAACAAAAACTCTCATTGTTCACTGTCTCTTATAATAGCACAAATAGGGAAAGATGGCAAATAGTTCTGTGGTTAAATTGAGCAGGAAAACCAATGTTTTCCTGCTTTAGCACATCTATATCCAATAAATCCATCTTTAGACTCCAGCAAACCTGGAGAAAGGCTGAAGAGAACAACCATTTAAACCAGATTAATTGCAACAAAGAAACTTTGTAGATACTCAAGACATCATGGCTGAAGATAATCAATTACCAACCTCTGATCTGGAGTTCAAACTAAGAATAAGTTTAGCAGTTTTACTAGTGCATCTCTATTTAGTCCAGTGGAAGAATTTAACATGTTATCTTGCATCCTTCCTGGTTTTTTGAGTGTTATTAGTTTTGTTTGACTTTCATAAACATCTTAACAATTGGGTTAATAATATTGCATTTCTTCAAAGTGAGTGCTTGTCGGGGTTAGAGGGCATGGTTGTTTGCTCTGTGTGTTCATGTGTTGCAGTATGCTGGATGGTCTGCCCAGCCTCCCATCATCATCAGTGATTGTTAATTACTGATGATGTTGAAAAAGTGAAATACAAAAACAAAGTGTTTTAAGTGTTAATAATGAATCTGCTGGTCTTTCTTGTTCCTCAATTATCTATGATTTTGTGATTTTGCAGATAGGGAAACAATGAATCAATCTAAAAAGGCTTTTTTTTTATTTTGCTACATTTGTATGTCACCTCCAAACACACCGGCTCTCCTGCCAACAGACAACAGGCTTGATGCCCCCAAAGACCCCCTGTGTCTGGTATTGGTCACTCCTACTGGGGGGAGTGACCAATACCAAGGGTGTTCTTACTCAAGGGAATAGTGCATACAAGCCATCAAACCTGTAGTCCAGAACTCTGGACTTTGACAAAAAACAAAGAAGTTCACTCAGATCCATTCATGAATTGGTTCTTGATAAAAAGTTTTTTGATCTGTCTGAAGATGTTTTCACATTTTAGATGAACGAAGACTGTTTGCATTTTCACCTTATATGTGCTTTTTGGAATTAGACAGTAAAACTTTTCCCCTGATCTCTCCAGACTTCTATAATGCTTTATTTGTGGCATCATTTCAATGGGATGTTTTCTGACACCAAACCGTCTCAACTACGTGCTCTTTAAGCAGTGTCAGAAAGAAAATAATTTATTTTATTTGACACCTCTTTATATAGTGTCATATTACACCATTAGCTTGCAGTGCTGAAGTGATAGGCCAAAATGAAGTAGCACATTAAGAAAAATCATACATGGTTTTATTTAAATAAAAGGGGAAATCTGAACAATGTAGGTTGCCTTTACATCTAGAACCAGATAAGAAAAACGGAACAATTAATTGCCTTCAAAAGTCACTTTGTTAAGAATTGTAATTTTCTGTGTTTAATCTCACTCATTTTTCAGCTGCTCTGTGAAAGCCTCAGTGATTTCTTAGAGAACACATTCTGCATGCTGACACTTATAAAGACCAAGTAACAAGCATGGCAGGTCAAAGTTGAAGGTTTGTAGAAGTTTAATGCTGAGTTTGGTTATAAAACTATGTCACAATCTTTAAATACCCTTTATCTGAAAGTGGAAACTAAAACTGTACACCTACCAATATGCTGTTGTCCACCTAAACAAACTGGCTTTGCAAAGAGAAGATTTGCAGCCAAGAGACCCACAAGAACTGTGGAAGAGCTGCAAAGAAGAAAAAGGACATGGAATCAACAAATCACTGCAACAGCTGTTGTTGAAAGTAATGTTTCATATATTCAAGTTAAAACTAATTCTGCATCACAGTGAACATACTATCAAACTGTGGGTTCTGGTTTCCCATAAAATCACAAAATTGTATGAAGTTTGTGGTTTGAATGTGACAAAATCTGAAAAGGTTCAAGTGCAGTTTCCCAAAAGCCAATGAAGTCATTAATCTACTCCTCTCATCCACCTCTACACTAAAACACACATACAATTTATTCCATCAGAAGCAGGAATAGGGACATACTCCTCCTAAAACGTATTCAATTTTTAACCCTCATTTCTGCAGCTAACCTTCGGTTTCATGGGAATGACAGCTGAAATTGAAAATTCCTACAAGCTCTGCCCCGTATTCCAGTGCTATTCAAATGCACCCTAATAATCTGCCTTCTGCTCTGCTGTGTAGCCCCCCACCACCACCAGTCCATGACCTCCCGATCTGAATTGCCACTCCACTCAACTCATCTCCAGAGACGGAAAAAGCCTGCAGATGCTCCAATCAACTCTAATAAATTCTATGTAGTCAGTTTAGCTGCACGACTGCCAACTGGCAAAGCTGTGAACTTCTACTTTGGGAGAACTAAAGGATAGGGACGGGAGAGAGGGTCGTTTTCTAAATTTGATTCACCTTCAGTGAGTTGAAAGCCATGTTCAGGCCCAAGTAAATGATAAAAGAGTATGGAGGGAAAATGGGATGTGTACTGAAAGATGGAAGGGACACTGAAAAAGCATGACAGCATTCATGTAATGGAAAAAGAGGTTAGACAGAGTACAAGTAAACAAACAAGAGTCCATGCTTTCTTTGTGCTGAAATACATTATCTTGTTTTGAACAAGCCGTAAAATAAGGAAATGGATTTCAGAGGAAAAATATAAATAACATATGTAGTCTAAAAGCTTTGGTCAAAGTAATATCCTCTTAGGACCTTAATTTTTAGGCACACATAGGAAGCCAACACTTTTTCTACTGCTGACCAAAATTTAAATTAATTGTGTCGTAGCTCAGATCTTGCCTGCGGTGGAATAAACTAACATGCAAACTAAAACTTTCTGTGTTTAGTTTGCAGGCTTTTCCTCTGTCTACACTTTTATCCAGGTTTCAATACACAGTCCAAAAATCAAAGATGCTTTGGTAATTGGAGACTGGTGAAGCTCTGATGTGGTCGTTTTTGTGAACGTTACATGTCTAAAGTCTCTCTTGTCAGCCTTGATGGATTGTGGGATCAGCGCAGAGTTCAATCCGATTCCTGCCCACTGACCACTGATAATAGGAAGCAGCCCCCCAAAACCATGAACAGAAAGTCATGAAATTCAATGACCACTTACATCAAAACACCCTGTCATTACTGTAAAAACTAAGCTGTCCCAATAAACCATGATGAACTGGCATCTACTATTATTAGTGAACAGCTTGAATTTTTTGAACCTCTCTGACTTAAAAAATGTTTTATTGCAGTGATTATTATTTATCTTTGATGATTGTGTTAGATTTTCAGCTTTTCACTGAGCGTTCTTGGTGGAAAGAAAAGAAAACTTTTATTTTCAGAAGAATTTGAATATGGCATGTGTACAAAATGTTAAGATTACAGGTACATCTTGAAAATTGGAACATTACATAAAAGTGGAATATTTCTTGCTAGTGATCTCGAAGTGAAATTCATTATCTAGAAACACCAACAGGTAATGATATATTCCAATCCTTTCATTCCTGTAAATGTTAATGGACTGCTGTGCAATAGCGTGTTGGTCAACTGTGTCGTTTGTATCCATAATCCAAACTCATTAAACTCGCAAAAAAAATAAAAGCTTGAAATATTTCACTCTTTGTGTTATGTGTCTTTATGAAATGAGTATTTCACTTCCTGAGATGATGGGCAAGAAATATTGCCTTTTAATCAGATTTTGTTTAAACGTATTAAGTCTTAACGTAGCCTAAATATATTTTGATTAAAATTTTATTTGAATTTTCTTCTTATGCTTTCACAATTTTAAGAACTGTTTCAGTGTAGAGAGATTTATATTATGTTCCACCATTTTGGATTTCAAAACTAATCATTTGATTTTTGTATTTGTTTGCCATTGATGTTGTAGGTTTTTAGAAAAATGAATAAATGTCCAAGTGTCACTATCTGATTGTTTCCTCACCTTCATGTCTTCTGTCATTTTTCTGTTTAATATATTATTTATTATTGTGTTTTTAATCTCAGCTCTGCATTTTTACACCTATATTCAAAGAACAGAAACAAAATCTAGTGGAGAAAAACAACTGGAAAAGAAAAAAACAATGTATAGCTAGAGCACAGAACAGAATAGGACAGCGAAAGAAGACGGTGTGCACAGGAATGTCACTGCTGGTTCTGCATTCAGAACCAGAGAATAAAAGCAATTTGCATCACTGCTCCACTGAGCTTTGAAATGTCTTTCATATACCCCCAGCTAAGCCTCTGCACCTTCCATCCCTTTAAGCAAACTTGCCATACTTTCCCACATCTTTCACAGAAAACAAGATTTAAGGTGAAATGTAAGGATGTATAACCATGATGTCCACTTTTAGTCACTTTTTAAAAAAAAAATATTTACAATCACAGATTTTTAGGGAACAATAGGTTCATGGACTTTATATGAAAATAAAGATACACAATTTTCAAATGATTCAGAAAAAAAAGGTCAATCAAAGAAAACTTTCCAGTTTTGAAAAATTTAATTTGACCTGGTTGCTATTATATTTTTCAGTTGTATGGAATTGATTAGAACATGTTAAAAGCTGTAGATATAGTACATAATATCTATCTGATAAATCCAATATTAGCTCATATTTTGGATTAGGGATTTGCACATCCTGTTCTGGGAAACTTATGAAAATTACCACATGTCACTGGAAATTATTTGTTTTCAGTGCTGGTCATTATGACCTCAAGCCTTCCTTCAAAATTGAAAGCATTCTGATTCCTAATCTAATACATTATCATAAACTGCTCTTAGATCTTAGTGCTGCACTGAAAATGAGTCAAAGTTTTATACTAGCAGTGGATCTAAGTTCTGGTCCACCTGCATCGGTATCTGAAGTGGATTTATCTCCATTGTTACACATCTTTTGGTAAAAGAATTTTAAATGACTTGCATTGCCATCTCTACTTCATTGTCCTTTCATTGCTGACCTGTAGCAGTTGGTGGTCTTCTTTTTGTTGATACTTTACAGTAATTATCGCAGTGTAACATGATTGTAAAACGTTTTTGGATATAATTTCCTGTGGGTGGCAGGTGTATTGAATACAAAAAAAGATAAAAATCCTTGTTGATTTCAGAGGTCAGGGTAATGGGCTCAGACTGGTTTAAAATAAGGCAAAAGTAGCTCAAACAGCCACTCATTGCAACCAAGGTTTGCAGAATGTCAAATATCAAATGTTAACCTTCAAAGCACGAAACTTACAACCTTCCCATTGCATGACACCCACTGTTCCCACTGCGCTCCTGCTACAGAGCACAATCAGAAAAATAAACTCAGTAAACTTCATTAAACTGAGTAAGGCTATATTCTAATATGTTCTGTTCTAATAATCCCCGTAGCTTCATGACTTTTATGTAAATTGACAGTGTTTTTCCTCTTCTTTCTTTTGGACCTGCATGTTTTTAATAAAGTGAGGTAAGTAAAATAAAACCTAAAAACACCTTGTGGCATACTTCCAAGTGGTTTGCATTAAAACATGGATCTGATCTTAAAATCAGACTGTCAGAGAGTTACATATTTAGTTCTTCCTACACCTTCACTTACTATGGTTTCTGAGCGCATTGGCATAAGATGGTCCACACAATAAAATAAAATTGGTTACATTTAACAAGTTTAATTATGAACAGTTTGGTAAGAAGTTATCTTAATTAGGGAACCTATTACCTCTGCAGGCAATGGGAACTGGGTATTATTAAATTTTGATAATGAATTCTGTAACAGTCTTGATGGCACATTGTCTTCCTTTGTAGCTGGGGAGCTGCTTTCATAAATTCAACATCTTTATTTCATAACCGCTGCCTCTATTTCCATTCCTCTCCTACGATCTCATTTCACATCTCCATAGTTTATGTACTGATGCTCATTATGACAGTTTTTAGGACAACCCCTAGCTCCAACACACACTCCACCATTGCAGTTTTGTTGGAGATGTGGAGCCTCATTTTTTTTCCAGTTTCCCACAGAGAGAAAACACTAAAGACACAGGAGCTGGATGTTCAAAGTAAAACCTCAATGCTGGCACAGTAGCCACAGTGCAGATATAGTGCGTTTCATTTAGTTGACTGTGTATGTCTCATTTCTTGATTCTGTACTGATAGCCTGACATAAAAGCTTCATTATGCATATGTAAGACAGGCATTTCTACAGTTTTGCATGTCAAAGTAAGTGCTAAAGACTGGCGATATGTTTTAATGTCTGTAAAGTAGGTAGTTTTAGAGGATGGCATGGCAACAAGCATATCTTCGCTGCACACGCTGTGGTGCTCAGCATGCTGGAAAGTAGTGTGAGCTGTTACATAATCACCAACCTGGGACCAAAGAGCAGAGCAGGCAGCACATACAGTCAGAGACGGGCTTGTGCAACCCAAATTGCAAACATCAATTTGCAATTGATGCAAACTTTCTTCAAAGTTAAAAACAAATTACAATAAAGATGTTATTCAGTTATCTTCAACCTTCCTACATTTTGATGCATTTTGCCTTCGGGTTGGAGCAAATTATTTCTGTATATAGCGCCCCTCTTTTTCTCTTTAATCCGTTTCTTTCTCAAACTTATTTCACAGATGCCCTCCAATGTAAATAATTGAAAAGTACCATGCTGAGTTTTAACTCTGATCTGCTCAAATCAGGATTTTCTTCCTAGACCAATTATGGTGTCGCATGCTACTGCTCCCACTAATGTCTTTAAATAAAACTCTGTTCTCAAACATGGCTGTCAGCCAGTAGCAAAATATGCTACAAATAACAATAACATGACAGAACCTATTTAAGTCAAGCATGAGGAAGGCTGCTCCCATTTCCCTGACTCGTCCTAATCAACATCCCAGCTTACAGATCCCAAGGTGCTGGTGGATGTCAGATCCATAGCCAATGGGTGTATTCAAAAATGCATGTTCAGCCCCTTTGTGGGGAAGTGGATGAGCCTGTCATGACGAAAAGTTCCCTGAAACAGCTATTTTATTTAACCTAGTTTTTATGGATGATCTGTAGGCTTCTTGCTTTATTCTGTTTCAGGAGAATCTCACTCCTGGGTTTGTTTCTGACATGTCCCAGATTTACTATCAAGGAATTCTTTTGTAATCTGTTAAACTGCTTCTATTTCTTTATAGATAATTAACTTACAATACATGGTTCAGTAGGACTGTATGCTTGTGTGAGAGAAAGTTTATATTCACAAGAATTGAGAATATGTGTGCTTAAATATAAGATGTTTTATAAAACTGCTGGATATTAACAGAGCAAACAGATACTTGACTGCAAGGATGTTAATACTTTCTATCCAAATGCCCATTACTTTAATCTTATGTGGTTTATAACCTTAATTTGAGGTACAACAACAAAAAAGATGTCTATGTCGCAGTGGCACTTTGTGCTTCTCTAATTCTGAGTTTCAATGACAATAGCTTAATCAATAAATGGAAATGCATATATTAAGAATCTGACAAAAGTCTGACTATAGAAGCTTTAAACAAACAAAATCGCTCAGTTTTAATCTCAACTTTTTATTTTCCAAGTTCATATTCTGTCCACAATTCATTAAAATCTTTATCATTCATTATATAACTATTGTTCTTGGTTCTTAATTTCAGTATTTGGTGATAAAGTTCACCAGAATTTATTAATTTACCGTAAAAGTAAGTAAAATGTAAATAGAGTATTTTACAGCTGAGTCAGTGCACCTCAGAGCCAGTGAAGGGATTTTATTCAGAGATCACTTTCTAACAATGCCCATCATGCATAAACTACCGTTTAAATACGTATTTTGGTGTTTCGAAGTAGGTACAAAAATAACTGGTTGTGTTTGCAAGCAGTCACATAAAACTTATAATACTTTAGTGTTACATGTCTTGAGAGAATTCTGATATCTAAAACATCCCTTTGAAATTCATTCATTTGCTTGAGGCTCACATTATTCACTGTAGCTCCTACAGTGAACACCTTTTGATGTTGCTGCAAAGAAAATCTGCCTGTAATTTGCAACTGGGAGCAGAAGAGGTATCTAAAACTCTAACCAAATAGTTTGATCTTGTAAGCATGAGAAACTGCTGCTCTTCCTGTTAGGGAAATACCAATCAGGATGTTCACATATAGCTAGAAAAATGAGAATATGCACAACTGGTTGAATCAACAGAACCGATGTCCTTCTGAACAGCTGAAGCTTTGATTTTATTGTAATTTTTTCTGATGCCAGGAAACATGGATCACCTTCAGTAATTTATGACCCAGAGTTTTTTAAGCAATACAGCAAATATGGATTTTTATCTCATTGTAAGAAACAGAGTTGCTGCAATCCAGACCACTGGTGCTTCTCACTTACTTCAATCATCTACTGAAGTTTCTGTTGTGTACTGGGCCCTTCTTTGCCCAGCACAGCTCCTACTCCTCCATTTGCTTGAGTCTGAATTTCATTCAATATTAAAATCCAGTCTTATCTAAACTTAGTTCTTGCCAGGAAAATAAAGTACAACAGCACATTTTTTGTAAAATGCTTGCTTTGTGAAATAACCATTTCCTCTCTTGCTCATCTCTTTTGTATGTCTTTGCCAATTTGACAGCTTATCTCTCTTGTTTTTTCTGTTTCTCTGTCCTCCTTTGCCCTTCTGTGTGGACTCACAGGACTACACATTGACAATGTACTTCCAGCAGGCCTGGAGAGACAAGCGGCTGTCCTACTCAGAGATCCCCCTCAATCTGACCTTAGATAACCGGGTGGCTGACCAGCTCTGGGTCCCCGATAC